ATCAGAAAAAATAATGCCTGGGAGAGGGAGAAGGAGAGGAATAGTTGTAGGAGGTAGAGAAGTAGTTGGATCAGAAAAAGGGAGAAGAGGTGTGTTGGACTGTGCATTTTTATGTTTGTTTGTTTTTTCCCACATGTGGAACCTATGAAAGCTTATTTCTGCCATGGAATATAAAGGGTAAGGCTAATTGTGGCTTTATCTCAGAATTCTGACTTTTTTTTTTTTGCAATTGTGAATTTACAGTATCTCACAATTCTGATAAAGTAACTTCCAATAATAGAAGTCCGAATTGTGAGATAAAAAAGTCACAGTTACTGTTTTTACTTTTTTATTCTGTGACGGAAACAAGCTTGCATAGTAACCAAAGGCCATGTATGTTGGAATTGTGTTGATCACTGGCATCAGCTACCATGGAGGGCACCATCCACATCCAACCCCCACCGACTGAAAAGCAATTTTAATCAAGGTTCCAATTGAATTTCTGCATAGGGGACCCTATTTTTTTTTTCTATTGTACATTCTATAAAGTAATGACTCATTCAGTTTTAGATAGTATGTTGCCAAGAATGAACACATTTAACACTTACAAATGTAAAATGGGTTCCTCTTCAGGAACTCTAGCTGCGTCGGAGGACGCTTAGGGAACGCCCTTCAGCGTGACCGGCTCTGAATCCCGTGTGTAATCAGTCCAATAGATGGGCGAGACGTCACGGGCGGGTGACGTAATGACCAGGAAGCTATAAAAGCACGTGCGGTGAAACCGGCGTCAGCTTTCTGTCATTCAGCAAGCGCTCTGTGTGTGTGTCGGTCTGATATCTGTTGTGAGTCTTATTTGATGTTGTTTTGTCAATCAGAAAATGTCAAAAGCACATGATAAAAAGAAACACATAAGGGGCGAGGGCAGGCAGCGTTTCAGGCTGTGTGTTTCTCCCTGCCCACGTTATATTACGGGTGGGGATACACACAGTTTGTGCGTTGTCTGCCTGGGAGCGGACCATGCTGAGTCGGCTCTCTCGAGAGCTGACTGTCCGCATTGCGAGCGTCTCACGATGCATGTTCTCCGCTCCCGGAAGACTCTCTTTGCGGAGGGAGCCTTCTCTAGCGTTCCCCGCGGCGCTGGTCCTGCTTCCGTCACGGTGGAGCGGCGATTACGCTCGTGGGGTTCGCAGGTGGATCTGGTGGAGGGAATGGAGACGGGCGAGTCCCTATCTTCTTCCTCACCCACCAGATTCAGCGCCCATTCTCTGGGATCGGAAGCCCGCTCTGAGGTTACTTCCCCCCGGGGAACGGGATCGACGCTCCGCCTGTCTTCCGAGGAGGAGGTTGATGTGGTAGGCGTCGATGAGGATTCGCCCCCTCAAACGCCCCAGTATGGAGAGCAGCCCCCTCCGAGTACCAGCTCCTCATACAGGGAGGCACAAAAACAGAGAGTTGCCTCACGTGCTCCTCCGCGTCGGGACCGCGACTTTAAGCAACGCTCTGGGTCGGGGGCCTCAAAGTCTAAGCCGGATCTGCGGACCGTACTTAAGACTAAGAGGTCCTCGGCCAAGAAGTCCTGATGCCACTGGCCCAGCACTCATGAGGGCAGGCCCCTCTGGGGTGGAGCGGGTTTCACCGCATTACACGGTGTCCGTCTCGCCTCAGTGCCCTCAGGAGATCGGTCTGCTAACCCTGCCAGAGTTACAGGGCACAGCAGTCTCCCGCGAGCGCCACTCTCAGTCACCGCCTGCCGGTCCGCCGTTACAGGGCACCGAGCTAGCTGCTCTTATTACATCAGAGGTCAGTCTCGAGAGACTGATTCCCTTAGTAGATTCTTTGGCAGCGTGGAAACTACTGCCAAATGTGTCTCAGTGGGTCCTGCGTACTGTAGAGAGAGTCTACAGAATCCAGTTTGGTTCTCCTCCGCCTCGTTTCAACGGGATTACGCCCACGCTGGTGGGCCCCGAGTTGCGACTCAGATGACATCGCACTGTCCCCTCTGGTTCTCTCTGAGTCATCTAGCTCCACTGGGGCTGGATGCCATGGTACAGACGTGGCCGAGGCTTTGTCTGTACGCCTTTCCCCAGATAGCTCTGCTCCCGGGAGTTCTAGAGAGAGTGCGCCGGGACGGTGTCCGTCTTCTGCTAGTAGCCCCGTTCTGGCCAGGCCGAGTATGGTTCTCGGGCCTGATTTCTCTCCTCGACGGCGCTCCATGGGAGATTCCCATCAGGAGAGATCTCCTCTCACAGGCGGAGGGTACGATCATCCATCCCCGCCCGGAGCTGTGGAAGTTGTGGGTGTGGCCCTTGAGGGGGCACAACTCATAGCTTCCGGTCTCTCAACCGAGGTTGTTGAGACCATCCTCCAATCCAGAGCTCCCTCAACGAGGAAACCGTACGCCTTGAAGTGGAGGTTTTTCACTTCTTGGTGCGGAGACCGCCAGCTCCGACCCAGTTAACTGCCCGGTTGGTACAGTGCTGGAGTTCCTGCAGGCCCGATTCTCCGCAGGGTTGACCCACTCCACCCTGAAGGTCTACGTCCCTCGAGCGGGGTATGTTCCTAAGGTCCCCTCCTCTACACCACGGCCTGTCGTACTCCAGGCCTTCAGTCCTCCTCCCTTCGGGGAACCAGACCAGCAGAAGCTTAACTGTATGTGTCCAGTGCGAGCACTGGACGCATACGTCCACAGAGCTGCCCTGTGGAGAAGGGCGGACCAACTGCTTGTTTGCTATGGTCCCCCTAAGACAGGGCTTCCAGCTACAAAACAGACCCTCAGTCGGTGGATAGTGGATGCCATTTCCATTGCTTATGAGTCCTCTGATCTCCCTTCGCCTCTAGGGGTCAAGGCTCACTCTACCCGAAGTGTGGCGGCCTCCAAGGCCTTCTTGGCAGGTGTCTCAATGCAGGACATTTGCGACGCTGCAGGATGGTCCACGCCCCTAACCTTTGTCAGGTTCTATGGCCTAGATAGGCATCTCTGCCAGCGCTTGCTTCACTCCTAGAAGCTGACGCTGGTCTCACCGCACGTGCTTTTATAGCTTCCTGGTCATTACGTCACCCGCCCATGACGTCTCGCCCATCTATTGGACTGATTACACACGGGATTCAGAGCCGGTCACGCTGAAGGACGTTCCCTAAGCGTCCTCCGACGCAGCGTCTCGTTCCCTCGAGGAACCATGGTTACATACGTAACCTGAGACGTTTCAGTTGAAGGTAAACTGAAGGCTAAATTACAAAAAACTATGGATTTTTATATTGTCTGTTAGGTAGAACTAAACCATGACAAGTGATGCAGTTTTTGTAAAGCCATCAACTGTTAGTATTTTGACAGTCACTGTGCTATGATTGACTATATGTTTCTGTTGGATAGAAACTAGTGCTAATGTTTTGATTTTGAATCGGGTTTGCTGTGTTTTGATAGAGTTAGTATATGTAGAAAAACATATTCAGCATTTTGAAATATAGAGTTTGTATTTAATAATAATAATAATAATAAAAAAACGGTTTTGGCCAGAAAATTAACTATTTGGCTAATTGTGTGATGTAGGTGTGTTGCTGTGTTAAGAGTTTGGAAAAAGTATTTTAAGTAGTAAACACTTGCTAGCAATTAAAAAAAAAAAACTGTAACTTTGACAGCCATGAAAATACATTTTCTAAAATCTTTTTTGTTTTTTTGTTCAAGTTTATCACAGACCCCAATTTGAAAGCTCTAGCCACTATAAGTATCTTGTAATGAGCATGTTTAACCATTCTGTAATTGCATAGATTACATTTTATATGAACCATCACGCACTGCAGGTCTCCAAAGACTCCAGAAACGATGCTAAGAATGTAGAAACAGCTATGTTAAAGCATTAATCTGAGTTTAAGCACTTCAGTTTTTGAGTGAAAAAAACATTATTTGTGGATACTTTTGTCAATACTTACAAGGAAATTTTGAGTTCTAAAACTTACATTATGTTCATATAGTATAATGACTTCTCAAATCTCAAAATATCTGGGAAAATTTTATTTTTGATTTCATATAAGTGAATAGTATGGAAGCCCGTTTCTAGCATATTAGTGCCACGTAAAGTAAGAAAAGAAATCTAAGATTACAAGATTAAAAAAGCCATAATATTTTGAGAATAAAGTCATAGTATTTTGAGTTTAATGTTGCATCTTTGAGCCATGTGTGACAATGACATTATATGATATGTTTGTTCTTATCTCTCTAGGATGTAATGTTTGTAGAATGTGAAAAAGAGAGCACAAATTGCTGGTCACTGCAGTGCACAATTTAAAATTAGGTTTTATTCTGTTCATTAAAAAATAATAATTAAAAATAAAAATATTAATAATAATTGGGCATACGCTTCTAAAAATGTACACTACTAAAATTGTAATTTATTTGTTGAAATCAGGAAACCATAAAAATAATTCCTTTCTATTTATTTGTTTATTTAATATTACTTTTTTCCTTTATTCAATAAAAATTGTTATATCATCACCATACGCAATTTATTTAAACTTGGAAGCCGTAGAAAGAACATATATTTATTTTCATTAAACAACATCAAATATAATACAATATTTTAAATTATTCATGTCCTTTATTCAGTAAAATGCATTATAATCAACATAAGAAACATGGCAGTCATTACAATTCAAGTCTAATTTTAGGGAAAACATGTTGAAGATTAGCAAACAGGCTGTCAGTTCATTAAATGATGAGCTATTTCCTAACAAAAGCTGTGCAGTGGATAAGATTTGAACTCATTTGCATTGTGATTAAAATCAGAAGTTGTTGTAAATTTATTTGTGAATTTACAACATAATTGCAAGTATGGTTTTGTAATACAGAAATCATGTTCGATTTTCTCTGTTTTGTCAGATATATGGTGAGTTAAACAGCCATTAAACACTACATCATTTTACAGATTACTTTCAAAAACAATTTCCAGAGTTACTTGAGTGATTTCTAAAAACACCAACAACCCATTTTTCTATAAGCCGTTGCTATGTGAGTGACATTGAAATGATCAGTAATAGCTGTCATATTCAGAATTACTGGGTGAGTTGCATAAAGCCAGTAATCCTCCAACATTCTCCCTCAAAGTATTTATAGGGCCTGGTGCACCATCACTATAGAGGAGCCGATTCTCAGCAGTATTTACTATTGCCTTCATCACATCTTCCATGGACTTTACCACAGGCTGCCAGAGGATGAAACGTTGTGTTTGTCTCTCCAGTACAGTGACTCTTCCACTAAGAACACTCAGAAGGTTGACAGCTCTCCTGACCACTTCCTGAATTTCAGCTGTGCCTGTTAGATGCTCTTGAACCTCTTCAGTCTTCCTCTCAATCCTCTTTAGTGCTTCATTGGCCTGCTCAATTTCAGTCTGTGTCTTAGAAATGATTCCCTCGTAACGAAACACTTTTACAGTCCAGTTCCTCACTTGAGACTCACAGTTTTGTTTCTCCCATTCAGCATCTCTCAAGGCATTTGAAGCTTCTTCAAATCCCCGCTGTCCCTCACTAATCATTATTGGACCTAGAGAACAGAAATCTCTTGAATACACATCAGCCAAAGGGAAAAAAATGCATAACTTCACAAATTGTTAAATTCAGAGTGATGGTAAGAGTAATGTAATACTCACCAGCAATCCATGCAATAATTGGTATTGCAAGCAGTGCTGCCCCTGCAGTTGCTACATCATTACATGTGTTCATTCTGTCTTGATGTGCTCTTATGGTATAATTTGCTGATTCTACACTTCTTTCAGCCTGCTCCAAAGCTGCTTTGGAATGCTCTAATGATTCCTCAGCAGACTTCTTTTTTATGCGCAAATTATCCATGGCCAGACTTTTCTCTTTTTTCTGCTGCTCAACATTTTGTTTCTCTCTAATAAGCTGCTCCATGCTTTCATCTAAATATCCCAGTTTTTCTTTAATCATTGTCTCAGATGTTTTCAGGCACTGCTCAGCATCCTCTATATGCTTCCTAATTTGGTTGTAATTGGAGCATGTGTCAGTGTTGGGACTGATATGTGCTTTCTTGAGGGACTTGCAGATGTTACAGATAGAGACAATTCCCTCATTTAGAGGCCTAGAAACTGCCTCCATAGATTGTACATCCTTCACACCGCAGGTACTAATGTAAGGGGAGGCAAAAATATTAAAGGAATAGTTTACCCAACAAATAAAAATTGGGTAACACTTTCTACGAAGCCCATATTTATAATACATTATGAATGCATGAATGAATGCATAATGCATTATAAAAAACCTTATAATATGTTATATCATCTTATGAATATTAATAAGAACAGTTTTAATGTATTATAATATTTACTTATTTGTGGTTATAGCATTTAAGAGTATGATGATTTATAGCACACAGTGAACACGTTGCATCCACTTAAGTTACAATGGATTATATTTCTCATAGTTATAATGTATTATAAGTCTCATATCTTGCCATCTTTCCTATGCTACTTTACTTATAGCCATCAAAGACCACTTATAAGTATAGTAATAATAATAGTAATATTTTTTTCTCAAACAGCCATAAGATCAGATATCAGATCAGATGAATGTGTAATACTTTGGCTTTGAACTGTTTTTATTGTAATATCAGCTTGATTATTTTGATGGTACTCTTTAGACAGCTGTTGATAAGTAACTCTGCTACATGTCAACTAGCAGTCATTGGAGTATTAGTAGTATGTCTGCTAAATATAGGCCTATGCTAACACTTTATTTTGACGGCTCCCCAACAGACAAACTGACTATAAGTAACTTTGCAAGTACGTCAACATTCTACCTACCTTAAAGGGGTCATATGATGCGATTTCAAGTTTTCCTTTCTCTTTGGAGTGTTACAAGCTGATTGTGCATAGATAAGATCCCTAAAGTTGCAAAGACTGAAGTCTCAAAACCAAAGAGATATTCTTTATCAAAGTTAAGACTCTGCCACGCCCCCCTAAAACGGCTCATTCTAACACGCCCCCACATATCTACCACACTAT